AGAGCTCCCGTGATGCAGAGCGGAAATGACTCTCAGGAACATCTATCTGAAAATTTTGAAATTTCAATCAGAGGAAAAGAGAAAGGAAAACAGGCAGCAGTACAACATCAATGCTGAATGACGGGAACTGAATCAATTAATGAATTTCAAGGTGCTTACTTTTCGATGGAAGTTACAGAACCTTTGGTGATTTTTCTTTTCCACGTACAAAACCTGCGGCCCAACTTTTAATACTAAAGAACTTCCCATCACTTTGTTCCAGATCCCTCCTCGCTTTGTTTTCGCTCCTGTTTGCTCTGATCAGTTTAATATCCAAATTAAAACAAAAGAAAAGAACGCATAAATTAAACAACCTTTTTTAAAAAAAAGACAAAGCAGAAGAAGAAGAAGAAGAAGAAGAAGAAGAATGGCGTAAATAAGCACCAGCAGCAAAATGATGTCACCGCCACTGTAGCTGACAACAGCGGCAGCAGCAATGGCGATGATGATTGTGACCAAGTCTGCCACCACCACAGAAGGAAGATGCTCACCAACAGCAGTAATATCAACAACAAAACCCTAGCAGACACGAGGCGCTTAAAAAAAAAAAAAGAGCAGCAGCAGCAATATCAACAAGATCATAGCATACTCAATCAGGTGGGAGATCGTTAAGGTAGCTCTAGAATTTCTGTAATTTCAGGCAGCCTGGAGACTGAAGGGAGCTAGAAGAATGTTCATTGTTGCAGGGGTCGAGAAGGGGTAAATCCTTCCTGGATACGAAGCAATCAATGCCACTGCCCTGGGATCCTTCAGGGGGGGGGGCGGGGGGGGGGAATCAACAATACCACCAACTATAGGAATAAAAATGATAAAATTATAAAACAACATCAAGAGACAAAAAAGAAAAAAAAGGCCATCGAGAACAAGCAGAGGTGCACCAAGGAAAAGAATAGCACAAACTGTACCCCTTGCTGAGGCCACATGCTACATCCTCCCCAGGAGAAATCCAGTGTCATTCCACAATACCAAACTGAGCACATTGTAGGAAAACGAAATGTAAGATTAGCATGGCCGCTGCACAGACACGCACAAATAGAGAAATCGTCCAAAATTTCAAATCGACAAATTCGAAATTTGATTTTTTTTTTTTTTTTTTTTTTTTTTTTTTTTTTTTTTTTTAAACAAAACAGCCCCTTCTATTTTCTATTCTGGGGGGCACCAGTCCGGTTGCTTATCACCGGCAAGCCTGAAAACCACAGTACAGTTTGATTGAATAAACTTCAATTAAGGGAAAAAAAGCAGTCCTTCGGGACATCTGTTAAAATTGGAACGATACAGAGAAGATTAGAATGGCCCCTGCACAACGATGACACGCAAAAAAAAAAAGGGAAAAAAAGCAATCCAGACAGCAATACTATTCATTGACTTCCAGAGAGAATACGACCAGTTCCATTTGGGCCTACATGGGACCAGGTCATTTGGGACTACCCGGGACCAGGTCAATTGGGACTACATGGGACTACATGACGGTGATCAAGCTTCAGGGCTGCACATATCTAAATCCATTATCCAGCCACCATTCAACTAGGTGTTGAGCCTGGATCCTTGTCTAGAGGTTTTTTATTTTTTCAATTAAAAGGCGTCCTGAGGGGCACGGCTCCAATCTATTCTGTGGAGCTTTGTCTGGATCTTTCTGAGGAGTGTTCTTGAGAATTGGACTCGCTTTTTAATCGAACTCCATCAAATTGAGAACAGTCTTCTCCAAGGTTGTGGAGAGAAGTAGGGGCTACATCTGACCATGTATACGAAGTTTAAGAAATAGTAAAAGGTTGGCTATTTGAAAGCCAGAGGAAAGTTGGCGAGCAAGCGGCTTTATGCTTCTGAATTTAGGAGGCGTCCAGATAGCCATTGAGGCTGCGTGTGTGCTACGGAGCAGCTGGGTTGCCCAAGGCCTTGGTTCTGCCTGTCAACCTGTCACCATGCATGATGGAGCCCAGGATGACGAGCACCCGTGAGAGAACGAGCGAGATAGAGAAGATACAACAGAAAGGTAAGGAGTGAAGGACTGGAGGCAGAAAGAGAGCGGCCGAAAGAGAAATGGGTGAAGGAGGAGAAAAATGTCATTAAATGAAGAAAAGGGAGGATGAGAGAAACGTAGTAAAGCAATTGTGCAGGAGGAAGCAAGAAAGTGATAAATGGAAGGATTCCGAAGGAGGGAAAAGACTGAGAAGAGTGAGGCAGAAACGCCAGAAGGAAAGACGGGGGAATGAGATGGAGGGATCAAAGAAGGTAATAGGGGAAGAGAAGCAAAAAGAAACGCAGTGTGTGTGTGTGTGTGTGTGCGTGTGTGTGCGTGTGTGTGTGTGTGTGTGGTGTGTGTGTGTGTGAGAGAGAGAGAGAGAGTGTGTGTGTGTGTGTGTGTTTGTGTGTTTGCGTGTGTGTGTGTGTGAGAGAGAGAGAGATAGTGTGTGTGTGTGTGAGAGAGAGAGAGATAGTGTGTGTGTGTGAGAGAGAGAGAGAG